GTTATATTCGTAAAAAGCGGTTCCCGTTTGGTTGACACGCGTTTGTATCTGTAAAGTAGGGTTAAAAATTGTCGAAGGTTGATATTTTTAAAAGTTTAATCGAAAAAGGTACAAATAATAATCTGCTTTTGGAACACGTTTTTTATTTGAAATTTGGGGGCTCCCGAAGTATGCGAACCAAGATGGCGGACATCGGAATGTAATATGTGTACTAGGTTAGGGTTAGGCCATAATTTTAAGTATAAATAATACGGGAGGCTCTTGGCTAGTCTTCGAACTGATAATAGGACTAAAATAAGGAAAATTGGAAAAAAATTATCGCCTAACCCTAACCTGTTACCCATGTTACGTTCCGATGTCCGCCATATTGGTTCGCATACTTCGGGAGCACCGAAATTTGAAGTAATATTCACCTAGGCATTTCAATAAAAGAGATCTTCAGAAGCCAGAAATATAATTTTTTTTTTCAAGTTTCGTTTTTTTCGTCAAAATCCTCTAAGTGACGTAGCTTCGGAAGCGTTTAACTGTTCTGCGTGTAATTGTTAACTCATACCGTGTTTCCCCGGAAAGAAGAGAGTGTCTTATTTCAATTTTCATTCGAAAAATAACACTAGGATTTATTTTGAAACACACATTACTAGGGTGACAGGATAACCCACTTGAGAAATGTCAACCAGATCGGTTCAGTAGTTCCGACGCTACAGCAAAACAGACAGACTTAAAATAAGACTTAGAATAAGGGACTCCTTGAGCAGAGATCCAACACAAATGCATTATGTCTGCATAATGGATCGGTATATTATCAGTACAACTTTCCCGAGTAATTCATGGAGATGTTTGTCAGAGCCTTGTGATAAATAGAGTTGCGGCATATATAATGAGAATGCTGGCTTGTGGATACCGCAAATACTTGCTAATTTTTGGATGCTATATTGCCGAACCATCAGTAACTGAATTTTAGAGTAGGATGGGATTTACATATTCATCCCGGGGGAGTGTAAAGCCGATATCATATGGCGAACTGCGGCCCCTAGTCTGGTTACCAGTACTTGTCGGGTATGGGATTAGTTATCCAGTTATAGGTTTCCGATATAAACACATAATTATTCCCCACTGAATCAAATCTGCAAACCCGCGCAGGGTAATCGGAGATGCGGTGTAGAGCGTGTTCCGAACGCTAAGCACGATGCGTCACACCCCCGATCCCACTATAGGTAACATCTGGAGCCTTAATTTTGCGCATACTTATAGAATTGTTTGTAGTGAATATACCTCATAACACAATAAGTCTCGCAGTCGGAGTTCGGATTTTAAATTAAAGTTGCAATATTTGTCAACGGGGTTTGGGTGCAACGGGGTTGCACTTTACACCCCTGGGAATGTGCACAGTAAACTTGCTTCACAGCAGAGGTTTGAAATAAGCTTTGCACAATTTACTTAAAGACAACGTCTTTCGGTTAGTTTGAGTATTAGTCTCACCTCAAGGTGTTTAATCCCTCGTATTTCATCCGCGAGATGGCGTGAGTCAACAATGCAAAATGCCCTTTATTTTCTGCATTTGATTTTTCTGTTCGGTGTTGAAGCATATGATATGAACAACTTTCCCCATAAGGATTAGGAAGGTGATATTCTGAATAGTAATTGCTATATAAACAGAAAGCATTGATCAAATATATGGACACAAAAACAAAAAAGTATCAAATATTTCAACAAAGCTGGCATCAGAATAGAAGAGGTTACGAACTACCTAGTAATGGAAAATTGGAAACATATCAAAATGGAAATAAAAAGAATAAAATTTTAGAAATTATCCACTAAAGCAGGGGTGTGCAACCTGCGATCCAGCATCGATTGGAGAAAGACCTTTATTCAAAGAAACTGGAGGTAGCAAGTCGACATATTCTATGCAACCAGAATAAAAGTTCGTCATGTGATTATGCTGTTTTATCAACTTTCGTCTCCCACGAGATGAAAACCATTTCCACATAAAGCAAACTCACCCTGATTCCATAAGCGGAAGTACAAGTCGTCATCTTCACCGCCCCAACCCCAGTAAATGTTTGAGAAACCGTTAGCGGACATGAATTGTGATTTTGTAACCATGACTACACCTCCAAACAATTGAACCTTTTGATTCCGCGGAACTGAAACAGATATTGAAATTAATTAGAGCAGATATGTGAAAAATGTGACCATGCAACGCTGGGATTGTACTGGGTTTCTCAAAGTGACACCTGTTGATTTCAGAATCGAATATTTTTCTCGAATCGAATCTCGAATACTTGGATTGACTTTTTATTGTGATGGGTTCTCCAGGCACGTATATTACTGAAAACATATATTCAATTACTCGTACATTTTGGTTGTTCAAAAAGTCTAAACCACCTATTTTACATCCCTTATTAAAAGCAACCAAAAAGTATTTGCAAATTGTTTGAGAAAGTCAGATTTTGTACTCACAAGTACTTGGTTTACATTTCATATTGTAGGATTTATAACGATGGTAGAATTTGTCAACGTAAACCGACAAACTGCGAGGATTGTCTTCACTTGGGCACCAGTACAGACATTCATCATTCTCCAGAAGCATATCGACATCATGAAAAACATAGCAATCGTATTTTCGATCTGTGAAACATGGACCAATTAAAAGCACGGATTCAACAAACTGACCAATCTTTGTAATCGTGTTTGATCATTAAAAATGTATAAACCAATCAGAAACGTGGTGTTAACATTTCAGCCAATCATAAAATAGAAAGTTTGAAATCAGGTCTGTTTTCAATTTATTTCCGTTCGAATACAAGAGAGCTGTGCTCAAATGTATGGACACGTCACAAGGTTTCGCTATTTTTTATTCTGGCACATCAAAAACGAAACTCTTGAAGTCCACAAAAATTTTCGAAATAAGTAAAAGTAATAGCCTTCTGGCAAAAAAATTAATCTTTAACCACTGAAAATTTCAAAGCAATTGGTCCAGTATTCGAAGAGAAAAGCGATTTCATCATGACGAAAGAGAAGAATAATAACAAGAACAACAACATAATATTGAAACGATCGTTATGTACACTGACGTGTCCAATAAATTGACTAAGAGTTCCACGAGGAAGAGAGGGGATTTAACCTACACAAATGTGACCATAGATTCGCATGGCATCTATTCTATTCACCAGTTTCGTGTAATGGCGTTATTGCCTTCGGCCATTATTATTTAAAACAAGAGAGCTACGCACAAATATATGGACACGTTAGACCAGAGCGAATCAGTCCTTACCGGTACCTTTGACGCTACCGGTACCCTCAAAAAAGTTCTGAATTTCCAGTAGCAAGAATTTTGCAGAATCAAAACGTACAGCCAGTCATGACACTGACTAAAATCCGTGTTCCCATGTATAAAAAATAATACAGCAAAATTTTAGACGAAATATCAAATTTCATAGAATTCACGCAGAATTTTGAAATAAATAAAAGTAATAGCCTTCTAGCGAAAAAATTAATCTTTAACCACTGAAAATTTCAAAGCAATTGGTCCAGTATTCGAAGAGAAAAGCGACTTTTTAAAAACGTGTCAAAGAACAACAACAACAACATAATATTGAAACGATCGTTATGTCCACTTCGTGTCCAATAACTAGAATTTATGTGTTGCTAGGCCAAAGACAAAAGGAAACAAAGGCTATCGAATATATATGTTGTTTAGATTTTGTATGTATAGATTTTGTTCTATTCGTTGAAAAGTTATTGCTCCCTAATATTCAAACCCGAATGCACTTATGGCTGTCAAAATTATAAAAATAATTATGAAGTCAGTTTTTGTATTATGACATCACATTTTCTACATTTTTACCGCCTCGTTGAAATGTTTGGCGCAAAAATGTCAATTTACCTTTACTCGCCTCCAGAAATCCAGCATTCATTAGTTTAGCCTTGTTGAACAGATGTTCCCCGCTCTGCCACATAACGTATACAGTATAATCCAATTGCTGTCCCTGCCATATTGGGTGCATATGCGCTAAGAGTACTTGAAGCTGGCGTATGCGTCCGCGTAAAGGAATGATAATAGCGAGTTTGTATCGTGGACGACAGTGCTTTGGAGTGTATCTTCCACCGATTGACAACCTCGGATTATCTATAGAAATTTTTTCTAAGGTCGGTGGTACAAAATCCAAGTAAAACGGCCTTTTGAGATCGCCTTTTAGTCCGGGAGGTTTTTCTGGACAAAGCGGCAAGTTATACTCTTCCAATTCGTTGGATATATCATCGAAGTATGAAGTAAAATTGTCCAGTGAGAAAACGTTCGTGTCATCGTTTTCAGTTCGATTGAAGAAATCAAAAATAAAATCTTCTTTTGATTTGAAACTGTTTATGAGCGAATAAATATGATCTTGATTCCCTTTAGTTGTTTTATACGTCACAATGAAAAATGACGTTATAATGAAACCTAATATTATCTTCTTCTTTTTTGTTATGACGTATGAAACAAGATTTAGCTTTGTGGATAGAAGCATTTTTAATTAAAATTTAGATTATTAATTTATTTGTAAACTATCTTGAAATTAAAAAAAAAGATAAAATAATAGGCGAGCTTCCACCGAAAGTGCATTGAAATAAGAGAGTGATACTAAAATATATCGACACGAAAGTCAAAATGAAGTAGTACGCGTATGCATTCTGTCACATTAGATACCGGTACCGCATTCTTTACGACTTCGCCTGCTATAATACTATAAATGCGAATCGAATCTGTATGCTTTTGCCTATGCTTTGTATTCTTCCTAACTTAGAGCATAGCATCTAACGTGTTTTCCCGAAAATACAACCTAGTATGATAGTAAGACCCTGAATTTTAAAAATGATTTTAATATGAGCCCTTCTCTTAAAACTTGACCTGGTCGATAGCGCGAATTTTTTTTCATCCAGCTGAAGGGTTTTTAAACTTTCGTTGTTGCGGAGCCCGCGAATAGGTTGATTATTAATAAAGGAGTCCTAAAATAAATTTCAAACTTGTTACTTTCCGATTAATATTCCTGAGTAAGTTAAAAATGCTTTACTTGATATAAATGCTAAACCTTTTTTATTAGGATTAATACAAGTTTTAAATAAATCAAAATTTCAAAGATAAATTATATATATACTAAAGCTGTAAATTTGACACTTGACAAACATATTAATAAATTAGGACTCGAATCTTTTCCCTTTTGATATTTTTGGAAGACTTAAAATGTCGCTAATAAAGTTCGATTGCATTTTGTTACAAGCGCCGATTGTTTTCGTCAGCGTGACGTGTTTTTTAAACCCTAAACATCTTTACGTCGGTGTTTATTCGCCCAAATCAAAAATTTCCTTCGGTATATACATGTATTGTTCCACAATGACGACGATAATTGCTTTTTCGTTCTCATGGGTAATTACGAGTTCAATGTGAAAAACATGTTACCATATTATAGTCAAGGCGACAAGATGCTAAAAATAATTAATGAAGAGGTAAATCTGAAACTCAAATTTCCTGAAAAGCGGCATTATGAAATATTAAAATTTAAAGCGGAAGATAACACTTTAAGTTTTGTTTCAGCAGACTTACGTCAGATTAAAAACGCTTTTTTAGACATTTGCACAGACCATGTGATTTTTTAAGGCGATATCTTGCAAAGAATCTAAGTAGCAGACCTGCGATATGGGGTAGGAGTTAGTGTTGCAAGAACGGCTCAAATTTGTCGAATTCGCTAAATCGCAATAATTTACCACACTGCCATGATTACGATTATGATTTAATCGGGGCGGCAAAATATGTTATCAAACTTCTGGCACCGGTAGTAGGTATGTTCTTTTGTGAGCAATATGACTTTGTTTTTAATATCTTATACTTATGATAACAGCGTTGTTCAGGATTTACGATTGTCCACGAGAACTTCACTTCACTTAATTGTTTCATTGTTTCTCATTTCATGTCCGCGGATTGTCGTGGTAATTTGAGAAGTAATGATTTTTATTGTTGACACAACAGGTTACATTGAACACAATTAACCCAATAAACAAATCATTTTAAATATTCCCCCACCCGTCATGAATTGCACAATTGTAAATTGTACTCATTGAGTTTTAACGTCGACCTAGGGATTTTTGTAACGGCGATATCTTGCTTAAAATAATCTCGAGTGCGAAAGAACAAAATCAAGTTTGACAAACCCCGAGATGGCAAAAATACAATTCCAATTTATCTATAGTTGGCAGTTCATCACAAATTTTATGTTATTTTAGAATTGTAGTATTTTTATTTTGGTAATCCTAATTGTAATCTCGAATCAAACGTGAGTAACGGTGAGCACAATTAAATTATAATGACAAGACATTGTATCGCATCGGTCCTGGATTGAATATTTTACGCAACAGAAATCTCGTTATCCGCTGAAAAAGCTTTTTTTTTAATCGCGAAGAATGTTACCCGGAAATTTCCAATTACAATTTTGAACCCCCTGCTTATAAATGATGTCATTTTTGAATTCCAACTCTTTGCCATATTTCGAGGTTATACGGTTGTCAAATTTTATTAAAGCTGTTACTGCTTCTTTGGACAGTTACAAAAATTAAAGTCAGTATTTTGAAAAGTGATCGCATAGCTCGCGGAGCCCCTGGGTTTCTCTCGCGGAGTCCTGGGGCTCCGTACGGAGCATTTTGAGAACCTATGACTAGCTCAGGGTGGTCCAAACCCAGGCCTGCGGGCCACATGTCGCCCGCCGCTTCATTATCTGTGGCCCGCGTCGCATTCGGCGAGGAATCAAAAAAGCGCATTTTGTGTTTTTTTTCGTCATAACTCCGCCAAAAAATCTTTTGACATATTGTTGCATCACTATAGTCACAATGACTAGTGTTATGGCTTGCTGAGGCAACTAGCATAGTTAAACGAGTGAAGTTCTTAGAACTATTGTGATCCGCGAACAATGCAAAAGTAATTTTGTGGCCCGCGGAGCTGCCAATCTTGGACCACCCTGACTAGCTAGTAGATAGCAAGAAATTATCCTACACGTTTTAAATGAATAATAATCTAAAACGTGTGAGAGAGGAAAAGGTAATTTTGTTTTTGATTAATGAAACTTGACATCGTGTCAGAAATTGGATGCTGATGAAGGCAATCCTTAGGAGGAGTTATCGCGCGACTGGGGAAAACAACAAGCTCTGCTCAATTACGGTAAGATATTATTTACAATGCTTTAAAAGGACGGATCAGGATACGGAGGCCTAAAGAGTAACGGAGGGATCTGACTTCGATGACCGCATGGTCGTATCGCTACCTTCAGTCTATTTCGGAACTTGTTTTTGTAGCTTTATTTTTTTATTGCTGTTGGCTGTTTTGTTCTGGTTGACGAAATAATATCTCTCTCTCTCTCTCTGGCCGAAGGTTGCGTTATTCAAACATCCTCTATATCAGTGGTCGGCAACCTTTCTCAAGTGACGGACCGGTAAAGCCTGACCAAACTTTTGGCGGACCACCTTCATACAAACGAACTAAGCCTATGCAATAAATTATACGCATTGGGAAATTTATGTTGACAATATACTAAAAACGACGGTGATGCTATTCGAGATATGGTCGACATTGACACATGTAATGTGTTTCTTACATCCAGCCTACTTCGATATTTCGTTTTTGTAGTTATCAATATTGAAAACCAGGCCTCACATTAATAGGATTTCGGGAAAGTTAACAATGCCTGTATCGTTTTGTTGGGGAGATCTTAGTCGGACTGATACTTCGATATTTCGTTTTTGTAGTTATCAATATTGAAAACCAGTCCTCATATTAATAAGATTTCGGGAAAGTTAACATTGCCTGTATCATTTTGTTGGGAAGATTTTATTTGGACTGATGAGAGGCATTCTTATACGGGCGTAGAGATAACAATTGACCCAGCATTATTGCGACATACTAACATGGCAATTGTTTATGAAGTCAGACGTGCTGCTCAATAGTGTTGTGCAGTGGTCGGCAAACTTTATGTACTTGCGGGCCAATTATAAACATGCCCGGTAGCGCGCGGGCCGCAATATTTCCGCCTTCGAACAATCGCTACATAAATTAAATTATGGCTCATTCGCATTGCTACCCTTCTATTGCTGTGTTGAAAGCCTGTTTCAATGAGATGTGTATGTGGCGTTTTTTTAATATATTATCCAACAATACATTGTTTTAATGTACTTATTATCAATGTGAAAGATGATGTTTTTGGCAACTCGTCATCCAAATGATGATCTGACAAGCGAGTACGAAATTTAATCTAAGTGTAATGCATTTTAGATGAAGCAGCTCAAGGCCATATGTTCTTCCGAATGTGCACATTACACGTTTTGAACTGACGCAGAGAACCGAGCTGTGGCGCAGTCCCGGGCCTCGGGTTCGAACTTTCGACGACTCATTTCGTAACGAGTTTAACATTGAAACCCTCAACAACTGCGATGCTGACTGGGCATGTCGAGCAAACCGGTTTTGGAATGCGCAAGAAAGAAAAATATTCTTCCGTTCAAGCACTTTGGAATGCTCGACCCGCGTCGCTACGTTTTCCAGACATTTTCAAATTTTAAAAATCGAAATTAACCTGAACGACATACAACTGACGCTACTTGTTACATAAGAAGCACCGTACAGCAGCACTTGTCAACACATAAATCCGTGTAGAGACAATAATGAATTTGGGATCAATTTTTGTTTTATGTATTAAATGTCGGGTCGTTCGAGGGCCGCAACAAATTAGCTCGCGGGCCTCATTTAGCCTGCAGTTTTTCCGACCTCTGATGTTGTGTTTGTCTGGTTTACTGTTGGGTGCTGATTTTTACTCGTAGGGTTTGTGGTTAGATTGTAGAGGTTTTATTACGGCCTTGTCCGTTCTTGTGTCACCTCTCTGCGGACCGGCAGTAGCCTTTCCGCGGACCGGCGATGGGCCGCGGCCCGGTGGTTGCCGACCACTGCTCTAGATAGCCTTGACAAAAAAGCTCGCGGAAATGTATCGCAGACACGGGAAAAGTGGAATCGAAAATTTCGGATTTACCTACAAGCTTATGGTATATCGGAGAAACAGGCCTAATCCAGACTAGAGTTGTATCGGTATCGACCATTTTACCGGTATCGGTTAAATGTAAACCGATATATTTAGCTTTTCAGTCTGATCCAGAATGTTTTCAAAATTAAGTTAGAGTTCGGATGCTGAAATTATTTTTTTGCGTGATGGGATGTTCGCGGTATTGGCCTCGTTAACTCTGAGCCATGCCCGCCCCCACCTCTCCACGAGTAGAAACGGGAACAGGATTCTGACCTGTTTTTAGTTATTCGTCAGTCAACCTAGCTCAACTAAATTGGCTATTTTCGCTGTCGAATTTTATTATACTTTATATTGACATTTTAATATGACATGGTAATTACAAAGAAATATATCAATTGAATAATTTTTAATGTGTAATATACAAAATACGACGTTATATTTGCACAAAATCCTGCGCAGGCAACTCAATGTATCAGTTTGATGAGATAAGTAAACATTTATTTACTT